TTATAAGAATTTTTTTATAATTGTCTAAATTACCCTTAATTATATTAAATCGGTTTTAAAAGGAAAAAATATGTAATTATAATTGAAAGTTAAAAAATTTTAAAAAATGACTTGAAACTTAATTTTAAGACAATCACTAATGCAAAGGTCTTTGGGCCAAATTATATGATTAATCAAATTCATACCAAAATTTTTAGAAGTAATAACCAATAAAATATTTTAAGAAAAATAAGGATAAAATAGGAAGTTAGTTATAGATCATAATTTTCTTGTATTTTTTTGTATTTTTTTAAAAAAAAAAAAGTTGGTTATTTGTGAGAAAACTCAAGCACGAAAGAAAATTATTTTTTCCATCATTTTCCTTTTCATGCTAACCAAACACATGAAAATTTTAAAAAATTTCTCTTTCTTGCATTTTCTATCATTCTCCCGTTCAACAAACGTACCCCAAAACTTTTGAAAGAAAGTTCAATATACAATCCAACATCATACTCTTTACATTGATAACAAGGTCTTTAAATACAAATTGATATTAACTAATAACTAACAAGATAATCAACACACCCAATTTCCACACTTCTTAGATAACCACCCACCAACACCATACCACTAATACATTAAATAACTCACCCTCTAACAACTACATCTGAAATTATACCCAAAAATAGGGACACAACAGAGTATGCCATCTCCGTTCAAACAAAAAAAAAACAGAGTATTTCATTCCAAGATATGTAGAGAGCAATTACTGCCTCAAAACAACACTAAAACATACACATACTGAACTTTTCAATTTCAACCCAAATTTTAAATGTTGATAGTATGCCACTTACAGTACGCTGCCAGCGATCTTGGAGGTTGACATCGGCCTTGTACGCCAAAAGAAGCTCAACAATGGAAGCATGGCCCTCGCTGGCCGCTAGATGCAGAGCAGTTCTTTTGTCATAGTCCTGCACATTGGGAGATATGCCTTCTCTCAACATCTGGTTCAGCCCAACCCTATCACCCCTCGACGCGAAGCTCAGAAAATTCCCAATGGTTTGCATGTCGAAATCATCCGAAGAAATTTCCCAAAGTATTTGAATCGACATCTTGATTTTCAAGTTCCTGGAAACCCTAATTTCTGATACCTAGCTGCTATTGAAGAGAGCTGAAAGGGGGAGTAATGAAGAGAGAGATTAACATATTTATACACAATTATGGGTTGGCTTCGCCGGTAACGACTAACGAGAGCGTCACGACAAAATCAAAAGGAATTGGCGGTTAAGACTATGAAGGAGGCCTTGGGGTTTAACGGCCAACTTTGATTTATTTTTTTGAGGCCATTTCTTGTTATTTTTTGCATTGATGCCTCTATGGTATTGTAGATTTACAATTCAGTACCTGAATTTTTGAATTATCTATTTAGTTCCAGATTGTGACTCAGAGTTGATAGGAATCACGAATCAATACGCGTTTATGGGGCATGTGTCTTAGAACAATTTCTTGGCGCCGCATTGTTTACGAGTGTTCTTAGTTTACATTTTTATTCAAGATACAACGAAGTCATCGTGACAATTCTATTCAACATGTTATATAATTCAAATAAAATTCAAAAAATTATAACCTAAATATATATCATTTATTGAATAGGTGAGTCTCATCAATTTTTTTAATAAGACTCACTAATCTAACACGATAGGATGCATTTGAATTGTAATTTTTAAAATTTATTTGAATTGTGTAACATTTTCTTAAAATTCACTACTAGTCATTTGCAGTATTTTCTTGGGAAATTAAAACTTCTTTTCGTTGGTCATATTCAAATTCCAAATGGAGTTTGACCAAACTTCAAGGGGATATCAAACACTATTCTCTAAAATTTTCACAATTATAATCTATACAAATTAGATGGCAAGCATTGGTTTTGTGGCCAAAATACTATAGAGTAATGTTATTTGAATTTAAAATTTTGATCTAATTTATTGATTTAATGATGTGATTTCATTTTAACGTTAGATTAACACTAAATTTTAATGTTTAATAGGGTCTATAATTAATGAATTAAATTAACAAATTAAATTAATAAATTAATCTGAACTACAAATTTTTCGGCCGGTCCACCTCATTACTAATCATCGCCAAAGCTGTATATGAAGTTATGAACCCATATTCCACTGTGGAATGTACCATAAACATCAGCTTCTTGGAAGCCATGAAGCCAACAAGAGTAAACACTGTCTACTTGTCACTGTTTACCAGGTAAAAAAACTTAGCTCCACCCCTGATGGCCCTATATATGGCATGGGATAGGTTAAGAATTTGTTTACACATAAAAAGGACAAGGGTATATATAAGAACACAATACGACGAGATTCAACATTGGCTCGTGTGGAGTTGTATAACTCTAGACGAGCCAAGTTAACCAATCAGGCTTACATAATTTGCTCTTATTCGATTGGATGCTTTATTACACCACAAAAAGTTAATAATCCTCTAACCCATTAAGAAGAAAAATGGAGCACTATCACTGTCTAATATAAAAATCTAGTTAGTGTATGAAGTAGATTACAGAGACCGGGATCGGTGTCACCAGTAATTATTTATACTCAATGACCCAGATGGGTGACACCAAATTTGACTTTTATACTCGATGAAAAATAAATTCCCACGAAAGAACATTGACTTTGGAGACAATTCTACAACTGTTGCAAAATTTTCCATTGCTGTGGAGAACTCCAATGCCTTGATCAATGAGGCAATTGCTGATAAACTTGATGTTAATCAGCTAATTTCCTCTTCTTCTTCATCCACAAAAAAATCTTTCAATATTGCAGACTTGGGCTGTTCTGTTGGCCCTAACACATTCATTGCAGTACATTACATTATAGAATCTGTAAAACTCAAATGCCAATCCTATTGCCTCGATTCAGAACTCGAATTTCAAGTGTTCTTCAACGACCATGCCTCCAATGATTTCAATACACTTTTCAAGTTTTTGCCNTTGCAGTACATTACATTATAGAATCTGTAAAACTCAAATGCCAATCCTATTGCCTCGATTCAGAACTCGAATTTCAAGTGTTCTTCAACGACCATGCCTCCAATGATTTCAATACACTTTTCAAGTTTTTGCCTTACGATAGGCAATACTTTGCAACCGGTGTACCAGGCTCCTTTCACGCCCGTTTATTCCCTGAGGCATCGCTCCATTTCGTTCNGCCTCCAATGATTTCAATACACTTTTCAAGTTTTTGCCTTACGATAGGCAATACTTTGCAACCGGTGTACCAGGCTCCTTTCACGCCCGTTTACTCCTACTCACTCCAATGGCTTTTCAAGATTCCGAAAGAGTTACTTGACCAGCAATCACTGGCGTGGAATAAGGGGGAGGATATACTGTAGGAAAAAATTGTATCCAAAAAAAGTGAACGGCAGTGTGAGGCGTGAATTAGGTTGCTCTTTTAAGACGATTCACGCCCTTTTATAAAACAGAAAGTAGTAGCGTGTCATCCCTGGATACAACATACTAGTCGTTGAAAGTTTTTGGTATTCAACAACTGAAATTTTATTATAGAAGTAATGACAAAAAATAATTAAACAAAATATTAAAAAGTGGGTTTAATACTAGTTAATGTTTTATTTACCAGTGTAGTTGCACTTGTGAGACTCTCGAGACCTCGTTTTGATTCAAATGTTAAATAACATCAGTATATATATATACTCAAGTATTTTGAGATGTTTAGTCGATGTGAGATTGAGTTTTCACGTAAAAATATTCTTTTAGTTAAAATATTCTAACATCTATTATATTGGTGCTCTGAAAGAAGTTTATTCGGCTTATTCGGCTCAATTTGCTAAGGACATGGAGTCATTTTTGAATGCCAGGGCACATGAGCTTGCCTTTGGAGGTCTCATGGCACTTATTATCCCTTGCTATCCAGAAGGGACCCCTCCTTCCGAGTGTCCTTTATTTGCAATTATAGATCTTTTGGGAGCCACCCTCATGGAGATGGCAAGCATGGTAGGTACTCATCCAGTTTTACAATTTACATGCATGTTACATACATCTATATTCTACTAGCAATGCATTACGTGCGTTGCACGTAAATAATGTTTTAGACAAAAATTAACAAATAAATATTTGGTATATGTGTACTTAAATTAAATATCATATCAAATTTATCAAACTTATTTTTGTATCGCTTATACTATATTATAGAATTTTTGAAAACTTTGTATGTTCCAAAATTTTGTTGTTCTAACTTCAAGAAAAAGGATAAAAAAGAAAAGAAATAATTAAAATTCTAATTTTGTTTCTATAATTTTGTAATTGAAAGTGATATTTTAGTGATGTTTGAAAATTAAAATTTTTAAAATTAATTTGATTAAGATTATATTTATAAATCATTGAATAAAATACAAATAATTGTCAATATATCAGTCATATTGGAACATTACTGTATTTAGAATTAGTTAGGTCAATTGAGATAAGATTTAATATATTACGCTACAATATATAATAAAGCATATTAAAATTTTAAAAACAAATTTAAGTTTTCCTTAAAAATATACTACAATCTATTTTCACTTAAAATCTTAACACAGTTTGAAAAAAAATTTGTGACTAAAGAATCATGTAAAACTATATATACATTATTTTTTATCTTAAAAATTAAAAGGTTAAACATTTTGATGAAAAATAAAATATACATATGTAGCCATAATGTTTTATTTATAAATGAGATGAGTAATGTTAGATTGATGGAGTTTTTAAAGGTTTTTTTGAATATTTTATTAAAACTTATAATGATGCATACATTTTTTAAAATTAATATAGTCAAGTAAAAAGTTTCATAAAAATTTATATTTATAAATAAAAAATAGATAATTAAAAGTGATCTTAAATATAATTTGGAGATTGAAATGCATAAGAATATGATGATAATTTAAATATTAAGTGTGAAAGGATAAAATGGTTTTTTCAATTCTTTATGATGGTAAAATAGTTAATCAAATTTTTTTCATATTAACATACTTTTATTAGTAGTATAGATATATACATGAGTTAATATGATTTTCATTCATAAGATTTGGTGTGTTAGATGATTTGGTAACCTTGACATCTCTTAATCAGAAATTATGTGACTTGTGTTGTTCAATTGAGACAAACCCAAAAAAAAAAAAAAAACTATAACCCAAAGATCAATAATTTTATGTTTTTCCTCCTTTGGTCAGCCAAATATACAATAATATTCACCATATTGCTTCATTTGGTATGATTAAAAATAGAAGGATGGGAAGTTAGAAAAATAGATAAAACATCATAATTTGATAAATAAGAAGAATAGGAAAAATGAAAAAATGGATGAATGAGTTTTCCTTCCAACTCACTAAAATCAATTCCTCCAAAATTTGAAAAAAAAATGGATGAAAAGTTAATTATGTGTATCAAAATATATGTTATTTATTTACTAGTTATTTCTAGTAATAAAAAAAATAGTCAATAATAAACATATTTATATTCACACACAAAACCAGATCACAAACATAGAGGAGAGAGAATAAAATTTAAGCACCGGTTGTAGTGAGGGTGAGCGGTGGTGGTGGTGAGCGGCAGTGGAGGTGGTAGGAAACGGTGATGGTTGTGGTGGATGGTGACGATTATGGTGGTAGTGACAGTCATGGGTGGCAACGGTGATGATGGTGAGTTTTGGGTGACGATTGTGGTAGTGGTAGTCATGGGTGACGGTGGTGGTGGTGATGGGTGTGAGTGGTGGTGGTGGGGCGACGATGGTGATGGTGGTGGGTGACAGTGGCTAGCGACGATAGTGGGCAAAAACAGATAATGGTGGGTTATGGTAGTGAATGGTGGTGGGTGCTGAAAGTGGGCGAAGTGTTTGTGGAATGATGATGGTAGTTGTAATAAATATAATAATGAGATAACGATGGTGTAGGTGATGGCGATGGACGACAGTGGTAGCAATTGGTGGTGGGAGCAGTGGGGGTGATAGTGGGGCAGTGACAATGGTGGTGGGCGTGGCGACGATGGTGGGGTGGCAACGGTGGTGATGGTGGTGGTAGGGGTGGGGTAGTAAGGGTAAGGGTGGTAGAGGTGATGGTAAGACAGTGACGGCGGTGGTAGGGTAGCGGCAATGATGGTGGTGGCTGTTGTGGTGGTAGGGTGACAGTGATGGTGGTGGAACGGTGGTGATGGTAGTGGTAATGGTGATAGGGTGGTGGCAACGGTGGTGATGGTTGTGGGGGTAGTGGTGATGGAGGTGGTGGGTGTAAGGTGGTAATGGTGATGGGGGGTAAGGTGGTGGCAACGGTAGTGGTGGGGTAGTGGGGGTGGAGGTTGTGAGGTAGTGACAATAGTGGTAGTGGCAGTGGTAGTGGTGATGGTGGTGGGACGATGGTTGTGGTGGTGGGGTGGTGGTGGCAATGGTGGTGACTATTGTGGTGGTGGGGTGGTAGTAGTGGTGATGATTGTGGGGCAGTGGGGGCGGTTGTGATAGGGATGGTTCCAAACATTAATTTATTTTAAAATAATTATGAGAAATTATAAGTTTTAGAGACAATTTTAAAAAGTTACCCCAAACATATCTTTAGAGACTTTGTTTTTTAAATTAAATTTGGGATGTTAATATTAGCCGTCGGATTAACTTTGAAGTAAAATTTCNTTAAAAAGTTACCCCAAACATATCTTTAGAGACTTTGTTTTTTAAATTAAATTTGGGGTGTTAATATTAGCCGTCGGATTAACTTTGAAGTAAAATTTCAATAAATCTTAACCGCGAAAAACAAAAATCATTTTGTTTATCTTTTGAAATTTGAATTGTATTGTACTTTATTATATATATATCATTTGATATATACATATATCATATTTATCAATTATATTATTATGTATACATTAATTTCATAATTCATATATAGATATAATGGTAAATATGTATTTATTTTTTTTTCCATCTTACTAAACACAAAAAAATCAATCCTTCCTACTTTTCATTTCTCTTACCAAACACAAAGGAGGGAAGGAATGATTCTTTTTTTGAAGAATAAAAAGTGTATCACTCCTATTTTTATCTTTATATTTTTCTATCTATCCTACCAAACGGACCCTAGGGGTTCATTAACTCGAGGTAACAATTTTCTCTTGGGAAGGACAATCACATGCAACTTCAATTAACANATAAAAAGTGTATCACTCCTATTTTTATCTTTATATTTTTCTATCTATCCTACCAAATGGACCCTAGGGGTTCATTAACTCGAGGTAACAATTTTCTCTTGGGAAGGACAATTAACTAGGAAAAATAGAGTCTTATTTTGAATCCAAAAGACAAAAATATTAGAGAAAACTTCGATAATATTATAGATGAATAATTGAAGGTTGCCCAACACATAAAGGTTTGATTTAGTACACTGAAACAATGGTTCTCTCTAAATTTAGGAACAAAAGCCTAGTCAAACAAAAATTACCAAAAATACAACGTTTTGTGACAGATTAATAAAATAAGACTGCACTTGGTAAGGATTCTTGGAGAGTTGACAAAGAATTAAGTCAGAATCTGAATTTTATAGAACTTTTCAAAAAGGGTAAAATTATGATTTACAATGCCAAAATGATGAAATTTGGCTGAAAATTATTTCCATGCATTGTAATTGTTGGGTCGTTTCTAATCTAATGACACAAGTTTTGCTCAATTCTGACCCCATTGACCATTTCGCCTCTACTAATTATCTTTTTTTCTCGGCTTTCGTTGCACTGTACATGCGTGACAATTTCCTTATTTATTATAATACTTTGATAAATTAAACAACAAGCTGAAACTCAGTATGCATCTGTGATTAGTTCAAGTTTCTTGTTCTTATTGAAGGGATTGGTGAGTGAAGACAAAGTCGACTAATTCAACTTCCCTAGATACAATCCAACTCCACGAGAACTAATAGTTTTGATTAAGAGGAATGGGTATTTTGATATTGAGAAAGTGGAAGCTTTGGTTCGCAGACGAATGAAAGGACCAGCTCCATTGAATCATTTAAGAGCTGCATGGGAAGGGCTAATCATAGAACACTTTGGAAGGGAGATCATCGATCAATTATTTGATCTGTTCAAAAATAAAGTAGCAGAATCACCCATCATTTCACAGCCCAGTGGCAAGAATGTTGAAGATCTGTTCATCCTTTTGAAACGGAAACTGGCTTGACTCTCGTGATCTTTTGTTATGAAAAACATTAGTCTTCCTCAAATTTCTAGTTGCAAACTATATATTTTGGACTTTTGAATAGAATAATTGAGTTTAGCTCGTCAAGATATCTTAGATTGAAAAGTTTGAAGGTTGTTATCTTGAGATTTCATAATTAACTCTCGTAGTAGAGTATTGGCTTACACAATCGTAATAAAGGCTTGCCTTATACAATGTATGTGGTTATAGGTGATTATGAGCTGTTGAAGTTTACATTATAGTCAAGAATATGAAGAACATATCTAGAAAATATTGAGTTGAATGGGTCAATTTTATATTATCCCAAGAAAAAAATTGAGGTGAATCTAATATACTATATCAATGTAGTAGCCTTCAATAGCCTTGAAACCTTATAATTATTTTTTTTATATGCTAATTGATGTGTGTTGCACGTGAATCTTTTTAAATTATGATTTAATTTTTATTTGAAAATCAAATTATACAATAATAAGTAAAATCACAGTCATTTCTATTGAATTTTCTTTTTTTTTTCCCTACCTGTAAAATGCAAGAAAACAATCTTCTATTAGCCCTAATGCTTAGCTAATGTCAAGAGCACTTAAACAAATTTCATAAAAATATTTCATATAACTAAGCATGTTATAAATAGACCACTGACCTACCTAAACAGCTCATAAGAACTCCATTAGACTAGTTGAGGTAAAGTAGTTCTAGAGTTTTCATTGCAGTTGCACGTCTAGCATGTGGACCAAATAATTCCAAGACTTTGATGTCACCTTTACAAGTTACAACTGCATATGTATAATACTTCCCTAGCTATCTCTAATATTTACAAAGTTAAAGATAATTTATCAGGTGGATTGGGGAAGAGATAATAGATAATTTTAATAAGACTGCTGATGATACCCAAAATATGTAAGGATGAGCTCGGGTGATCAACTCAGACCTGTGACACATCAAAATCCAAGTGTCCGTAATTATCTCGTTAATCACCCACCAA